TATATTTTTTTTACAAAAAAAATCTTCATTTCTCTGACGCAGAATTATTGACATTAAATTATTTCGATTTAATGAACCACAAGCTATTAAAATCAATAGTTGAAAATTTATTAGTTCCACATAAATATTAATTTAATAACTTTAATACATGTTTCCGGCTAATATATTCACATTAATATTTGACACGAAGGTATTTCCGAGTTCGGCCAATAAATGAGAGTTTCGAAATGCATTTTTATGCAAATCGGGAATAGAATACATATTTATGTAGAACTTTGAACTTTTTTTTTCTAATGAAATAATTCTTTCTAATATCTGACAATCAAAAGTGGAATTTTAAACATCAATTCCCAAAAAAGAAATTAATATTTATAGATTTAAATCAAAAATTGCCTAAAAACAAATACTATTCTCATTCACTTCAGTATCGAATTAAAAGTGTCTGGTGAATTGAATAAATTTCGCAATCGTTTTGTGCTAAATCAGCTTAGACCGGTTCTAAGTTGGTTGTTTTAATTTTTTTCTGTTTTTTTTTTTTTTTTTTTTGTAAAACAGTCACTAAAACTCAGATCTGGCCAAAAATAAAATAAAACAAAGCCAGAGCTAAAGGAATCCACCAAGCAAGCACCTCCATTCAAACCGGTTCAAAATTCTGTGTCGTTGGTCTGGTGGATGATGGCTGTTCTTCGGGTGGCTGTTCCTATAAAAAAAGTGCATAGGTATTTTCATCGCGCTAGTTGGATGGTGGAAGCCATGGTAAAACTGCTGCATTTACTTCATGGCACACCAGCTAAAGGCAAGTTCATAGACCAGAATAATGCAAGAAAAATCTTGGTTGGGAAAAAACCAATTTTCGTAGTTCCATGGCTGGCAATTAAATGCACCACTGACCGATAAGGCAATGTTAAGTGGTATCATTTGTCGGGCCAGTAAAATTACCAATAAAAACTTGTTAACATGCATTTTTCTTTTGAGGTATCATTGTAACGCCAAGGATAAATTAATTAAAACCTACAAATGCCATAATGAAGTTAATGCCACACAGAGCAATTTTATTGAAGAGTATTTGGAGAATCCAAAAATAATTTCCTACACAGAATAAAAATGTCCAAGCAGAAAATTATTTATTTTTCAGACATCAAAAAATCTCAGTCAGCGAGAAATGACTTTTGTTTGAGAAATAATTTCTTAGCCTATGATAGCTGATATTTTTCTAAAAATATCTAATTTCCATACCTGAAAGAAGTATTTGAAAACAAGTCGTGATTTGCAAATTATGAGAGAAATAAGTATTGATAGGTTTGACCCACTGTGGTAAAAACTTCAATCCACTATAACTGGTGTCTCACGCTCATTTCAACCTTTTCCAAAAATATCTCATACTTGAAAGTGCCTTCTAATTGGTCTGCAAAAAAAGTCCTTAAAATTTTAGATTCACTCCATCAGTTCGTGTTAGGCCTTTTTACTCAAAAACTGAACAAATTTTCAGTTTCCATTTTTTTAATTAAAATTCATGTATCGTACCAAATTTTCAGATATTTGAGTTTTATATAGAATTCAAGATTTTTACTTTTTTTGGAAAGAATAATAAGAAAATGTTTATCTTTTACACCAAAAAGTTTTTAGAATATTTCATTTTGATGTTTACCGAGGAGGATATTAGTAAAATCATTGCACAATGGACCCACATCCAATTTTTCTGTGCAAAACTCTCTCCACATGTGCAAAAACCCTAGAAACCATCATTAACCCCTAAACCAAATTAATTTAATCTATATTCCTTCACCCAATACCAAATTTAGTACCATTTAGTACTTTTCGAACAACCATATCTTAACCACAGACACCAAAAGCGACATCTATATCAACTTTAAGGATTGCAGGTCTTTTCTTCACCTAATACCAAATTTAGTACTATTTAGTACAATTATAGTACACTTTCCAAAATCAACTTCATATCTTAATATCAAATTTTAGGATTCCACCGAATAACAAATTTCACCGAATACCAAATTTGGTACTTTTCTTACAAATATAGGACTCATTTCCAAACCACCGCCAATTTTCAACCTCAGATAAATATCAATCAATAAATATCAAATTTCCAAAACCGCCCTATATCTCAATTCCTGATGCCTAACAAAGATCTCAATGTCAAATTTGAGAATTTCAGCCCTATCCCATTACCCAATACCAAATTTCATACCATTTGGTACATTTCTTATAATTTTAGTACTCATTTACAAAACCCTTCCATATATCAATACTAGACACCATCAGTTGTCGCAACATAAAATTTCACATTTTCAGTTCTACCGCTTTTCACTCAATAGAAAATAGAGTTCAGTACTTTCGACAAATTTTAATTTCAGATACCAACAAAGACCTCAATATCAATTCCTTCACCCAATAATAAATTTAGTACCACTTAGTACCTTTCGTACAATTATTGTACACATTTCCGAAACCACCTCCATATATTAATCCTAGATACCAACAGTTATATCCGAATCAAAATTCAGGATTTTAGCTCTATTCCTTCACCCAATACCAAATTAAGTACCATTTAGTACTTTTCGTACAATTATGATACTCTTTTCAGCTCAATATCAAATTTCTTCACATTTCATTTTCGTACTATAAAAATTTCCAAAACTACCTACATATCTCAATTCAAATTTTACGATTCCAGCCCTTTTCCTTCACCCAGTACTTTTTGTACAAATATAGGACACATTTGCAAACAATTGCCAAATCTCAACCGTATCTAAATATCAAATTTCAGAATTTTATCTCTATCGCTTCAACAAATACCAAATTTAGAACCATATAGTACTTTTCGTACACTCATACTACACATTACCGAAACCACCTCCATTTGCCCAGGCTACACTTGAAAAGTGACCCCAATAAAAGTTTCAAGCTGCAAGCACTATCTGTTCGCCCAGTTTAGTAGCTTTGTACAAATATAGCACGCATTTCCAAACCACCTACAATAAAACACAGACACCATCAATAATCTAAATACCAACATTCAGAATTTTATGTCTATCCTTCAGTATATATTATATATTATCATATAGGGCTTTTCTTCACTTATAACACACATTTCCGAAACCATCTTCATGTGAGATTTGAAGCACTATCTGTTCACCCAATACCAAATGGTACCACATATAGTACCATTTAGTACATTTAATACCATTTACATGATGAGAGTCCTGAAAAAAAAATATTCTAAAAAATCAAAAACGAAAAAAAAAGAAATATACTTTTAAAAACTCTGCGAACAAAGTCCTTAATGTTCTTAAAAGTAATCTCTGTTCTTAGAAAGTATTCTCTGAAATCCAAAATTAAAGTCTTTGCAAGCAAATATTGCTAAAATAACCAAGGCTATGGCTATAAGAGGCCTTGATGAATTATTCCATTATTATAGGCGTCATAGTCCGTTATTAAGAAATATTCGCAATAAATATTATTATTAAATTAACAAATATTTATTTCAAAAATCCACAATTAAAAATAACAAAATGTTCTTAAAAAAATCACGAATATAGACCAGAAACTCCTTAAGAAAAATTCGTAATTAAAAGCCAGAGGGTCCTCGATAAATATTTTTGAAAAAATAAAAAAACAAATATTTATTTCAGAATTCCACAATTATGGCTTCCTTCAAATTTACGATTATGGCCTAAACAAAATTTTCATCAGAAAATAAAAATTAACAAATATTTATTTCAAAAATCCACAATTATGGATTTTTTATGATTCTAATTTTAACAAAATTTTCTTAAAAAATCACGAATATAGACCTGAAATTCGTTAAGAAATATTCGCAAATAAAAGCCAGAGAGTCCTCGATAAATATTCTTGAAAAAATAAAAAAATAAAAAAAAAAAACTAAATAATATTTATTACAAAAATCCACAACTATGGCTTGCGAGTTTTTGAAAAAATAGTCTTCAATGCTCTTCAAATTTAAGATTACATCATTAACAAAATTTTCTAAAAAAAATCACGAATATTGCTCAAAGAGTGCTTGAAAATATTTTCCAAAATTTTCTTTTGTAGCTCCGGCAGTTCTCCAAAAATTAGAGATAAAATATGTTTAAAAAAGTTGTATGGTCCTTGTATATCAGTGATTGCAATTTTTCTAATGACAACAAATATTTCCTTCCATTCCGGAAAATTCACAAATCTGATAAGAATTGTAACCTCCGCCACTGATAAGGCAACATTTTAATACAATTTTGCAAAAAAAGGTTTTCCTCATGTTCAGTTCGATGTCACGTGTTATCGGTCACAAAGTAATCGACTCACAAAGACATCATACAAATTGAATCGGATCCGGTATTAGGAGACGTTTTTTAATCATTTCATGTTTAATTTATTTAATCAAGTATTGGAATTTTCAAACAGATCATATAAATTAGTTTAATTCAAAACAAAATTGAAAAAAAAAAAATAAATGATCAAAACAAAAAGGGTGAAAATTCATTGAACTAGAAACTCGTGTCGGCATATGTTAGGTTTTATGATCATGTCCAGCAAGTTTTGCAAAAATCTATGGTTGCGAAAAAAATGATGGCTGGGACTGATAAGAATGAACTAATTAGCATTTTTAATGGGAGAATTTTGATAGTATTCCCTAAAGCCTTAAGATTAGTAATTTTAATTGAAGCCCAGTATCACTACCCATAAATAGGCCACCCTAATATCGCTGCAATATTGTAATCACCACGCTAGTGGTGACCTTGAGATCAGAAATACTTAGTTTTGCAAAATAAACACATTTCTATATAGCCCGACGACGAATCCAGAAGGGATTAGCGGCGATAAGCAACTACTGCTGTTCCACATTTCCTCAATCGATTAATAATTTATGTCATAAATTATATTCCGATTTCATTATCGCGCCATTATAATAATAAACATAGTGTGAAATTGCAAACTAATAATTCGATTTTCCATCTTTTTCTTCATTTTTCCATTTTTTTCAGATTGTAAAAGTATTTTTCCCTCTCAACCATGACGGTCATAAAAGATATGAAACCCTTGAGTGGGTGTGGAACGGGGAATGCCACCATTGGCAGTGCCACTGATTGCGGCGGTGGCGGTGGTGGAGCCTTAGCCATGAATTGTTGTTCAACAGCTGCCAGTTCAGAAATTTCCATCGATGCCAGTTCATCAACATCATCCACACTGAAGTCTGCCACAACAACAACAAAAGTCAATAATAATTTATCGCACAACAACAAATATGATAACATTGAGAAAGCATTCGCCCGTTGTCCAGAAATTGATATTGAATTTGAGAACATCCGATATACGGTGAAGAAGTTCTCGTTTGCGGAGAAGAAATTTGGTGAGTAGGAGAAAAAATAAATTTGTAAATTTTTTTTAAAAAATCCATGATCATACTCGGCCCGGCCGAACTTTAAATACCCTCCACCATTTGTAACGAATTTGGAAATTTTCAAAAAAAAAAAAAAAATAAATAAAATCCGTTTAAAATTCTGTTAAAATCTTAAAAATACCGAATGCTTATACGACGACGTGGACCTGCATAGGAAACTTTTGTCATAAGTTAATACAATATTTAAATGTGAAACTTGAAGAATAATCTGTTTATAATGTAGCTAAAATCATCAAAATACCGAATATCGGGAGGTACCGTTATATGGGGGCTATACGAAGACGTGGACGTGCACAGACAATTTTCTGGCATGGGCTGAAGTATCCATTACATATTTGAAACAATTCCGGGAAAATGTCGCTAAAATCATCGAAGTACCTAATATCGGGAGGTACCGTTATATGGGGACTATACGAAGACGTGGACCTACATGGCCCATTTTCTGTTTTATTCTGCAATATCTATTACGAACTTAAAGTACCAAATTTGGAACGATTCCGTTAAATAATGTCGCTAAAATCATCAAAATACCGAATATCGGGGGGTACCGTTATATGAGGGCTATATGAAGACGTGGACCTACATGTCTCATTTTTTGACTTAGGGTGAAGTATCCATTACGAACTTCAAATACCAAATTTGAAACGATTCCGGTAAACAATGTTGCTAAAATCATCAAAATACTGAATATCGGTGGGTACCGTTATATGGGGGCTACACGAAAACGTGGACCTGCACAGATAATTTTCTATCTTAGGCTGTAGTATCCATTACGAACTTCAAATGCCAAATTGGAAACATTTCCGGTGAATAATGTCGCTAAAATCATCAAAATACCGAATATAGGGAGGTACCGTTATATGGGGGCTATATGATAACTTGGACCTACATGGCCTATTCACGAATGCCTACTGGCAAAATATACATGTGTGCAAAATTTTAGCCTTCTATCTCAATTTGTTCGAAAGATAGCGTGATTACAACAGACAGACGGACATGGCTAAATCGTCTTAGAATTTTACGCTGATCAAGAATATATGAAGGGCTCACAGCTATACCGAACTAAGTCATAAAAACATAATTCCAAGATATTTAGAGGTAAAGTAAATGCACTGCAATTAATTTCTGGAAGCAATATTTTAGTCTACCAAAAGAAAATGTAAAAGTCTACATTCAAAATTAACTAATGATATTAATTTAAAAGAAAAATAATTTAAATATATTACTAAAAAATATTCAAAAATAAAAAAAACCTGCCTTGGTTCATTATTACTCTGAATAAAATTCGAAGTTTTTATACCTATAGAACCAAGTCAAAAAATAAAATAAAATGTTCATTATATGACTAAATGTAGTTGATGTTCCGGTTGTAATAAGCAACATTTGTTAATAGCTTTGGAAAAGGTAATGCTTTTTGAATGTCGAAAGTACAAAAATAGTTCTCATCAGATGGTACTTCTGTATTCAGTGAGTTTTGGCTAGCTGTGCTGCTTTTAAGTGAAGTTCATTTTGCAAAATTAAATTTGTATTTTCGTCTTCATCGAATTTTATTTTCATGTCAAGTTCATCACCTATTCGAAAGGTATCCTTATTCGGAGACTTAAAATGTAAATTGAATTTCGTTTTGCGGAAGTCGTAAGACCCTTCTGATTTGTGTATGCTTTTCCACTGTTGCAGCGAAGCTTACGCACTTTGCCGGGTCCATTCGCCTTTTCAAAGAAAATATTTTACTGCACAGAAAAAATGGATAACGCGATTGTGCTCCAACTTAGCACATGCTAATATTTGGATCAGTGATAGGTCAGTTGCGAAAATGGGTAATATTGGTCCATTCCATCAAGTACCTCCCCCACAAAGGGTAAAAATTTTGAATAATCATAACTTTTATAAAATGTGATGAAAATTTCCGATTGTCTTCAAATTACACAGATCAGAATATATTTATTATCCCAGGGTCTGCTGTGAATATGAAATATATCGATCCACTACCTCTGGTACCATCCCCACAAAATGTCAACATTTTGAATATCCATGAAGCTCATAAGACGCGAAATTATTCAATTCCATTCAGATTTGGTACATCTCAAAATTTCCATCAACACAAGATCTGTTATAAAGATGGTAGAGATCGGATCATTTCTTCTGGTACCTCCCCACACAGAGTTCAAGATTTTGAAAATCAAAACTGAAATAAAGCGAAATAATCGTCCAACTCTCTTTAGATTTCACACATACAAACATATTCGCTAACACAATATTTGTTGTGAAGATGGTATATATCTGCGAACCCCTTCCGGTACATGACCCACAAGGGGTCAAGTTTTCAATACCTTTATCTGTCATAACTTGCGAAACAAGTCGGTGATTCTTTTCAACTTGCTATATCTAAATATTTTTCTCAACCAGAAACATGAGATGAATATGGAATTTATGGTTTCGCATAAAATTGGACATAAAAGTACGATTTTCTTGTAATTGTGTCCATACTAAGATTTTATGTGTATTAGGGAAGTATCTCAAATAAAAAAGCAGTAAGTGCGGTCTTTGAATACCCTCTACAATTTGGAAAGAATTTGGCTATTAAAACATACTTTTAAAAATCATAAAATTACCGAATATAGGGAGTTACCGTAATATGGGAGTATATACGAAAACGTGGACCTGCACAGCCAATTACAATATTTAAATAGGAAACATAAAAAGTCCGGTAAATAATATCGCAAAAACATCATAATACCGACTACGAAATATGAAAAAATTTTGGTGAATAATGTCGTTAAAGTCATCAAAATACCGATCATTTCCAATACCAAAAACCCTGTAGACCAAAAAGTAAAATTTTATCAACCTACTTCAACCTACCTGAGTAAAATTTTATCAACCTACTTCAAACGGCTCGGAAACTAGAGTGATTTCTACAGATGGACAGACAGATGATTGGACATCACTAAATCGACATTGAATCGTTGCTGATATCCATATATACACTGATTCAAAGTGAAACACACTGACTTGGTTCATTTTTGCTTTGAATAAAAACGAAAATGACAGTCGTTGACTTAGGTTTTTTAACGTTATCTTTGGAACGAAACACTTTTTGACACTGTGCTTTACAGAGTAAACAGAGTTGCCATATGCGGGGACATTGGCACTAGTTTCGGCATTTTTTATTTTTCATGACTTGGTTCGGTATAGCAGTGAGCCCTTCATATATACTTTGTTGGGTCTGGCATGAGTATTTCGAGGAGTTACAAACGGAATGACAAAATTAATATACCTTCCATAGCATGTTGGAGGGTATAAAAAAATCCATGATCATACTCTGCCCGGTCGAACTTTAAATACCCTCCACCATTAAAATATTCCACCAAATACAAAATTTTAAACAATTCCGGTGAACAATGTGACAGAAATGAGAAAAATACCGAATATGGGGAGTTACCTTTATATGGTTGCTATACGAAGGACCTGCATGGACAATAGAGAAACTAAAATACGAAATTTCAAAAAGTTCTAGTAAATAATGTCGCTAAAATTATCAAAATACCGGATATAGAAAGATACCATTATAGGGGGGTTATACCTACCTACGTATACCTATATACGTGGACCTATGTAGCCCATTTTCCATATCAAAAGTCCTGAAGATCAAACACAATTTAAGTAAAATTTTATCAAACTACTTCTATTCGTTCGGCAGCTGGAGTGATTTCCACAGACGGACAGATATCGTTAAATCGATATTATGGGGCCTAAAATGTATATTTCGAGATGTTAGAGGCGGAATGACAAAGTTAATATACCCATCATACTATGGCGGAGGGTATAGAAATACTATTAGCAAGGCAGTGAAATAAAATTTTGCAAAAAGATAAAAATCATGAATCATTATTCCTTAAGACATTTTGAGACTATGGCCCTGGTGCTCCTTGAAAACAAAAATAAAATAACAGGATTATTAGTCCTTGGAAAAGATGTTTAAACAAGTTAAAAGTAGCTGTCGGTTTTCCGACAAATTTATACCCTCCGCCAATTAGTTCATCTATATACGAGTATATAAATGAGTAGCAAAATACCTGACTGATTGACCGAGAATCAACCCCTAGACGAATCAGAATCTAGTACATTTGAACGAGGGTCAGTCTTGGTGCATAGGCATGTGATAAGGCTGAGTTTTTGGAAATTCATACATAAAAGGGTACGAAAAGTACTAAAATTACTGAAGTACAAAAAATGTAATACTTTGTATTGGGTAAACGAAATGAATTTTAGAATAAGATTCACTAATCGAGTGCAGGATAGGTGTACCAAAAGGTTTTTGGGAAATTCGAACTTTAAGGTTATGAAAAGTTCTAAAATCGTACTAAAATTCTAAAATGGTACCATTTGGGATTGTGTAAACGGATAAAGATACAAACTTCAAATTTAGTATGAGAATCAAGGTTGGAACGTAAGTTTGTTATATGAAGGAGATTATGGAAAAGTGTACTAAGTGTGCGAACTGTACCAAATGGTACTAAATTTAGAACAATTTTGGTTTAGTGTGAACGAATGAACCTGGAATTTTGAAACTTTGTATTGGGTTTTCTGTGAGTAATAGGATTGTGATAAAGATGCGGTTTTAGGCGTGTGTAACAAAAGTGCACGAAAGGTACTAAAAAGCACTATATTTGGTACAATTTGATTTTGGGTGAGCAGATAGTACTTGAAATCTGAAATTTGGTATTAAGGTTGCAGTACGAAAAGTACTAAATAGTACTAAATTTGGTATTGGGTGAAGGAGCAGAGCTGGAATCCCGAAATTTCATATTGAGTTCTCTGTTGGTATCTGGAACTGAGATTTGGAGGTATCAATTTGTTATTGGGTGGAGATTTGGCAATGGTTTGGAAAAGAACATTTGGTATTGGGTGAAGGTGCAGGACTGAAATTGTGAAATTTGATATTGAGATCCCTGTTGCTATCTGGAATTAAGATATGGAGGCTGTTTTGAAAAAATTTACCACACTTGTACGAAAAGTACTAAATTTAGTATTGGTCGAAGTGATAGCGATTCTGAAATCTGATATTTAGATAACTGTTGGTATCTGAGGTTACGATTTGGAGGTGGGTTTGAAAATGCGTGCTATAGTTGTACAAAAAGTACTAAATAGGACTATATTTGATATTGGGTGATGGAATAGAGCTGGAATCCCGAAATTTGATACTGAGGTATCTGTTCGTATCTTGGAATGGGGATTTGGATGTGGTTTCGGTAATGTGTACTACAATTGTACGAAAAGTACAGCATGGTACTATAAGACAGAGCTGAAACCGTGACATTTTATATTGCGATAACTGTTGATGTCTAAGGTTAGGAGAAGAAGATGGATTTGGGAATGGATACTATGATTGTTCGAAAAGTACTAAATGGTACAATTTTCGGTATTAGGTGAAGGGAAATCTGATATTTAGCTAACTGTTGGTATCTGCGGTTACGATTTGGAGGTGGGTTTGAAAATGCGTGCTATAGTTGTACAAAAAGTACTAAGTAGAACTATATTTGGTATTGGGTGAAGGAATAGATCTGTAACACCGATATTTGATATTGATTCTCTGTTGGTATCTGGGATTGAGATTTGGAGGTGGTTTTTGGCAATGTGTACTATAATTGTACGAAAAGTACAAAATTGTATTGGTTAAAGTCACAGAGATAAAATTTTGAAATTTGATATCTAGATAACTGTTGGTATTTGTAGTAAAGATCTGTAGGTGGTTTGGGAAATGTGTACTAAAATTGTACGAAATGTACTAAGTGGTACTAAATTGGGCATTGGGTGAAGGAATAGAGCTGTAATCCCAACATTTGATAATGAGGTCTATGTTAGTATCTGTTGGTAGTTTTGCAAATGCGTACTGTAATTGTACGAGAAGAACTAAATAGTACCAATTTTGTATCACTGTAAGTGCTTAGCATAAAGAGATGTACATTGTTTTAAACATGAGTACTAAATTTGGTATTGGGCGAAGGCATAGAGCTGAAATTCTCAAATTTGATATTGAAGTCACTGTTGGTTTCCATATGAAGGCGTTGAATTTTTTTTGGACAGAAAAATTGGATGTGGAACTTCGAAATGAAAGATTTTGAAGCCTTTTGGTTGTGAAAGGTAAATGTTTTCCTATTATTTTTTCTGAAAAAGAAACAATTCTTCCATAAGAGAATCTTACACAAAAACAAGTTAAAAAAGCAGTAAGTTCGGCCGTGTCGAACTTTTAATACCCTCCACCATTTGCAACGAATTTGGAAATTTTTAAAAAATAAAATCCTTAAAAAATTCTGTTAAAATTTTAAAAATACCGAATATAGCCGTTATATCGGGGTCTATACGACGTGGACATACATAGGCAATGTTTGTCATAAGCCATTACCATATTCAAATTCGAAACTTGAAATAAACGGTGAATAATGTAGGTAAAATCATCAAAATATCGTATATAAGGAGGTGCCTTTAATTGGAGCTGTGCGAAGACCTGGACCAGCATAGACAATTTTCTGTCACAGGCTGTAGCATCCATTACGAACTTCAAATACCACATCACAAACAATTTCGGTGTGTATTGTACCTAAAATCCTCAAAATACCGAATATAGGGAGGTACTGATATATGGGGCCTATACGAAGACCTGGACCCGCACAGACAATTTTCTGTCACAGACTGTAGTTCCCATAACGAACTTCAAATACCAATTTTGAAACAATTCCGGTGAATAATGTCGCTAAAATCATCAAAATACCGAATATAGGGAGGTACCGTTTTATGGGGGCTATATGAAGACGTGGGCCTGCACAGACAATTTTCTGTCTTAGGGTGTAGTATCCATTTTGGACTTCAAATACCAAATTTGAAACAATTCCCGTGAATAATGTCGCTAATATCAACAAAATACCGAATATCGGGAAGTACCGTTTTATGGGGCTATACGAAGACGTGGACCTGCACAGACAATTTTCCGTCTTAGGATGTGGTATGTTGACCCTTTTTGGGGAGGTACCAGATATATCCCATATTTGCACCAGATATTGGTTTGAAAATGTATTTGGCTGTGCGAAGTTTGAATAGAATCAGATTATCGTTTCGTATTTTATGAGCGATTTAATTATTCAAAAATTTGACCCGTTGTGGGGGTCTTATTTTATGGAGACTGCCGATGTTGTCCATTTTCGCACCTGCCCAACACTTATAAAAATATTGGGATTTTTAATGTTCGATTTTATGATTCTTTCTTGTTTTAAAACATTTTTCTGTTAAAATTTTAAATTGTGAGGGGGTACAAGAAGAAGTGAGCAGATTTCGCCCATCTCCGAACTCCATTTAAGTTTGATAATAATATTAGGTTGTACCAAGTTAGGATCAAATCGGTTACTCTCTTCGAGAGCTATCGTGCGCACCAGCCAGATAGACGGATTGACTACAAATGCCCTGAAACGGTTTTGGTCCAAAGAGACCTAGGGTCTAAAACCGTTATTTCGATGAGGCACGTTTTGGCCGTACCAAATGTAACTGAGAGTATAAAAATATTGTTTCTAAAAATCTTCGATTATGGTAATTCAAAAATTTAAAAAAATCGATTATGAATTTTCGAAGAATTAAAAACATAGTTTTGGATCCGCGAAAATAAATTTTAACTTTTAGAATATAAGTTTCTTTGAGGCATCTTTAAAAAAGAATTGTAAAAATTCTCAAAAAATCAAAACTCCTTAAGTAAAATTTAAAAGTTCCAAAATATTAGTCCCATAAACTAAACATCACAATATGAAAACAAAACTTAATCAGTAGCGGCCAATTTGTTATCATATCTGGTGAGGGAGCCCCTCCCTCATTAAACATTACCAAACCTACACATATTTATGATGTGATGATTTCGTGTAGAGCCTATATTCATTCAATACCACTTCAAAATTATTTGAGATAAAGTACACACATGTTTGCCACAAGTTTTTCTTTAGTTGAAATTTTTAAGGTCAGGCATTTTGCGATAAGAACTCCCCAAAAAAAAAATAGAAAATTGGGCTAATGGGGCACAAAATGGGGTAATAGTGTTACCGGTCTCTCAATAGTCTTGTTCTAATTGCTGTTATAATTTTTAAAATTCAAATATTTTTGCAGTGCTATTAAAAAAACATACTCAACAATCTTATCAATGACACACATAGATAGATACCTTGTATATTAGTTGTGTGTGTGTGCGTGAGAGTGGTGGCACACGCCTCACAATGGGTTAATGTTTGTTCAAAGTTCCCACCATGAATTGATGATCATCGTTGACAATGTAAAGCGAACGACAACGACAAAAGCAGCAGCAGCAACAACAACGACTCATTTTTAAATTGTTCATTGACTTATGGGTCATGTTGGCGGTGGCTATGACTATGACTATGGTTTTTTTTTGTATTTCCATGTTTGTCTGTTGTTTTATTTTATTTCTATTTTCCTTTTGTATTGCCTTCATGAAGTCATTAGTTGTGTGTATTTGTTATTGTTGTCATTTTGTATTAATTTTTTTGTTTTATTTTTTTTTCTTTCTTTTCATTTCAGTTGCAAAAGAAATTCTGCATGGCATTAATGGTTCATTTCGTTCCGGTGAATTGACCGCCATCATGGGCCCTTCGGGGTCGGGAAAGAGTACCCTGCTAAATGTAATGACCGGATTTCGGTGAGTAGTGAATTTAGAGATATATACGTAAGCTTTATTTCGATATGTGAGAATTTTTGGAAAATTTTGAAATGTGTATGAGGTACCAGATACAGTGGACCGAAGAATATCCAACATTTATTTCCAATTCTATGCGAAGAAATTGTTAATCAAAATGTAATTCTTTTGTTGGGCAGGTACCAGGAAATGGTGTTCTGATATCTATCATCTTCACATCAGATCTTATGTTAGTAAAAATATTGCGAAGAGGGAAATTTGAAGACAATCGGGTGTTTTTTTTTCACATTTTATGAGCGTTTTCCTATTCAAAATGTTGACTAATTTTTGGGGGAGGTACAATGAGAAGTGGGCCGGTATATTCTATCTTCACAGCACATCATTACACATTCCAATTTTTCTAGAATGTGTAAAGTTTAGAATCAATCAAATGCTTATTTCGCATTTTATGAGCGTCGTGGTTATTCAAAATTTTGACCCTTTGTGGGGGAGGTACCAGAAGGAGTGGTCCCATATATTCCATCTCCATAGCAGATCTTCTGTCAATTGAAATATTGAGATGTGTGAAGTTTAGAGAACTAGATTTAAGATTGGTGATGCTTGGAGCAAATCGCATACTAACTTCCATGAAATTTTATAAACTTTGAAGCACTATGAAGAACCCGCCACTTCGTCAGCAAAAAGTCAACCTTAAAATTTTAGATTTTTTCCAACAGTTCGTGTTAGACCTTTTTAGTTCTGAAAATGCACAATTTGTTCAGTTTGACAAAATTTATCAAAACTTCACAGATCGTACTTAATTTTCCGACTTTCAAGGTTTGATATGCTATTCCCCTTTTTTCGGAAAGAATAATAGGAAAATGTTTAGCTTTTCCACCAAAAAATTTTCTAAATCTTTATAAATAATAAGATTTTTTCGAGCTTTAGGCCATTTTCGGATTTATTTTATTGATTACAATAATATGTTCCCAATATTTCGCAATTATCAAATTGCATCTTCAGGGGCAATATTTACATAAAATTGTCAGATTTACTTAACAGCTAATGTAGTTTTTACTACCATTGTCTGGTGTTATTATTGCACACCAGACAATGGTAGTAAAAACTACATTAGCTGTTAAGTAAATCTGACAATTTTATGTAAATATTGCCCCTGAAGATGCAATTTGATAATTGCGAAATATTGGGAACATATTATTGTAATCAATAAAATAAATCCGAAAATGGCCTAAAGCTCGAAAAAATCTTATTATTTATAAATCAAATAAAAAGGCCGATAAACAACCATTTCTCAAGATAATTTTCTAAATCTTTTTTTTTTGAAGTTAGTTAGGAGAATATCAGTAAAACAATGGATTGCACAATGGACCCAAATCCAATTTTTCTGTCCAAAACTATTTCAATGTCCCCATATGTCAACCCTAGAAACCAAAAGTGACCTCAATATGAAGCTAACCCAATACAAAATTGAGAAACATTTATTTTCGTACAATTAAATTACGTATTTTTAAAGCAATCTCCATATTTCAACCTTAGATACCAATAGTGACCTATATTATAAACTTCAGGATTTCAGCTCTTAAATTTATCCCAATTTAGGACAATTATAACGCGTATCCAAAACCTGCAATTTCTCTCAAACACAGATACCAACTATGACATCCATATCAAATTTCAGGATTTCAGCTCTATTCCTTCAACCAATATTAAATTTAGTACTATCTAGTACTTTTCGTACAATTATAGTTCACAATTCCGAAATCACCTCCATATATATATGGGACGCATATCCAAAGCCACCTTCATATCTCAGTCTCAGATACCAACAGAGGCCTCAATATGAAATTTGAGGAATCTAGCCATATCCCTTCACTTAATACCAAATTTGGTACCATTTAGTACTTTTCGAAATATAATGGTACGCATTTGCAATACCACTATCAGATCTCATTACCAGATACCAACAGAGACCTTAATAACAATTTTCGTGATTGCAGCTCTATCCCTTCACCGAATTTAGTACGACTTAGTACTTTCGGTACAATTATAGTACAAATTTCCAAACCGTCTTCATATCTCAAATCTAGATACCAACAGCAACCTTAATTTCAATTGTGAGAATTCCAGCCATATCCCTTCGCCCAATACCAAATTTAGTACTATTTAGTACTTTTCGTACAAAAATATAGGATGCATTTCCAAACCACCACCAAATCTCAAACACAAATAACATCAGTAATGTAAATATCAAATTTTAGAATTATGTCTCTATCCTTTCACCCAATATCAAATTTAGTACTATTTTTACTTTTCGTACAATTATGGTACACATTTCTGAAACTACCTCCATATCTCAATTCCAGATACCAATAGTTATCTAAATATCAATTTTAATTTAATTTTATCTCTATACCTTCAACGAAGACAACATTTTGTACCATTTAGTATTTTTCGTACATTTATAGTACACATTTCCGAAACCACCTCCACATGTCCTGGCAACACATGAACAGCGACCCTAATACCAAATTTCATATTTCAATAATATCTGTTCACCCAATACCAAATTGTACTTAATATAGTACTATTTAGTACTTTTCGTGGACTTGTAGTGCACATTTCCATAACCACATCTTTATCACAAACCTACTACCAACAGGGACCCCTATAAAAATTTCACATTTCCAGCCTCATCCGTTCACCCTAAACCAAACTGTTCCAAATGTAGTACCATTTAGTACAGTTCGCACACTTAGTACACATTTCTAAAACTTATTTTCCAATCTTGATTCTCATACCAACATTAAATTTTGCTGCTCTATCCGTTCACATAAAACCAAATAGTACCATTTTAGGAGTTTAGTACAATTTTTAAACTTTTCGTTACCTTAAAATTCGAATTTCCAAACAACCTTTGGTACATCTATCCTGCACTCTTTTAGTGACTCACATTCCGAGTTTCAGAATTCAAGTTCATTCCGTTTGCCAATACAAATTATTTCTATTTTGGGAACATTATTACTCTTCGTACCTTTTTAGTACGAATTGTATCTCTATCTATTCTCCAAATACCAAATTTAGCAACATCTAGTACTTTAGTAATTTTTATACTCATTTGGAAAACCGTTCCAAACCTCAATCCTCAAAGCCAACAGTTATGACAATATAACATTTCACATTTCCACATCACAAAAAGTACAAAAGTACAAAATGGTACCTTTTTAGAAGTTTAGTACCATTTTAGAACTTTTCGTAACCTTGAAGTTCGAATTTCCCAATAGCCTTTGGTACATCTATCCTGCGCTCTATCAGTGACTCTCACTTCAAATTCTGGCTCATTCCGTTTGCCCAATAGAAAGTATTTCATTTTTAGTACATTTTTGTACTTTTCGCACCCTTTTAGTACAAATTCCCAAAAACCCATCCGTATCACACACCTACGCACCAAGAATGACCCTTGTGCAAAATGTTAAGATTCTAGCTTCAGACGATTCGTCTGGGCAATGATTCTCAGTCAGTGAGTTATTTTGCTACTCTCTTTGGATTTGTTCCAAAGAGACCTGGAGCCTAAACCTGTTACTTCGAAGAGGGTCTTTTTGACCTATCAAATGGTATATAGCCTCTGTGACCATATAGCGGAGGGCCCACGATTATAATTTATTTAGTCCTTCAAATTTCATGAAATGTTATAAAAAAATAAAAAAAGATTAATCTCTGTTAGTCCTTAAAAAAACCAGGATTATAACACTGTTAGTCCTTTAAAAAATATTTTTTAAAACTTCCGCTATTGAAGGTCCCTAAAAACTGTTGAAAGATCCCCAATTAAAGTTCCTTTGGTTCTTGAAAATTATTCCTCCTGGGAAAATATTCTTAAAAAATGTACCATTGCTCCAAATCTAAAACGCTTTGCTTTACCGACCCTTCGTTGACTCTTCTATGCGTTTAAGGGTTAATCGGCCTGCCAAAGTGCACTGCGACTGCGGTAATCCGATCAAGTTTATTGTTAAACGGTCTTCAACATTGGAAAACTCTATTAATCATTTCATTTCAAATAGCATTGGTGGTGTCTAATCGCAAATTGTGACTAATACAAAGAACATGTGCATGTCTTCAGTCGGAAGAAAGAAATGAAACGAAATAAAATCCAATAACAACAAAAACAACTAGCAACAACAATAACAATGACTGCTAATAAAATATAATCTTTGTTTATACAAAAAGTTTCAAGTTCGTATAATTTTTATTAGATTTTATTTTTCGAAATAATTGTCCCATGAGGAATTTTCAGTGTTGCTGTTGTTGTTAATAAAACAAATAGCTTTGTGTCGCTTTTGTAAAAATGAAAAAATAAAAAAAAACAACAACAGATGTTACTAAGCCGATAGTTAAAATAAACATGCCGCTGTTCAGTTCTCATTATTTGATTCTTGTAATTGCGTTGTGGGTTTGAGCATTATTTAGCTAATTTATCGCCAGCAACAAAAAATAAATAAACATGGAGTTAAACAAAAAAATTTGTTGTACTAGAAAGTAATATTAGAAAAACATCCAAAAGTCCAATACTGACTCACAACTAATCTAAAAAGGGCGGGTCGATCAAAATCAGCAGTGAATCAAAGGTTGTACGATTTTGTTTAAAACTAGCCACAGTACTGTAATGCGTGGATTTTTTTTTTAAGTTTCGAATGTGAATTTTTTTATAATATTTTTAAGTATCATTACTACATCACAAACATGGAAATTCAAAGGAATTTTTTCAAGGACCATTGAATCCATAAATGGGTATTTTTTAATGACCCTTAGATCCCTAAACATGGATTTTTATACCCTACACCACAAGATGGTCAGGGTATTATGTCTATGTGCATTTGTTTGTAACAGGCAAAAGGAAAGGAAAGATACCCATAGTTTCTTTTGATGGTCTGCATAGAATCACATTCTGAGTCGATTTATTCATGTCCGTTCGTCCGTCCGTCTGTCCATGTATTTTTGTAAACAAAGTA